TGCCACCTGTGGATTGGCTGGATTTCAAATGGACATTATGACTCTGGTGGGAGGAGGAAGATTGCTGATTTAACTATACCGTTTTAGCAGGATTCTCCCCAGATCTCGCCTTGACTTCCCTACTGTCACCAACCCCTAATAAAAGTTTCCTTTTGAAACTGCCTGTTTCAAGAATTCTGCTTCCTTGGATGGCTAGCTGAGGTGGGTCCTTACAGGTGTTTAAATTGAGTTTTGTGCCATTTTATGACTTTTCCTGCCGCAGTTGTTAAATAAATCACTTCAGTTATTAAGTTAGTAGCATGGTTGTTAAGTGAATCCGGCTTCCCCATTGACTTTGCTTGTCAGAAGGTCTCAAAAGAGGATCACGTGACTCTGGAACATTGTAACCGTCATAAAAATGAGTCAGTTTGCCAAGCAAATGAATTTTGATCACGTGACCATGGGGATGCTACAACGGTCGTTTAAGTATGAAAAACAATCATCAGTCACTTTTTTCAGTGCCGTTGTAACTTCAAACAAATGGTTGTAAGTCAAGGACTACCTGTACATTTGTGAGCTTGATTGAAATTCCACAATTCCCTGCTGTTCGATTCACAGGCTGTAATGAAATGTGTGAATGATCTGGAAGAAAGAGGAGAAGAGATGCTGCCCAGAAAACAACCCGACAAAAGAAGCAGGATTAACCCTGAAGGATTAACGGTCAGAAAAAGAAAATTAGGAAGGATCTGCCTTAATTGATCAGACAGTTAAAAGCGGGAATGGGAAGTTTACCTTCAGATTATTCTGTTAATGTTGCCTGACAGTAAAGTAGAATTAGTTCATCTAGTCTTGTTTCCTGTCTGGTTTACTCTGAGGGATGACACAAGCTGACCACAAAAAAACTCAGTTCCTGTAGTCTACTCTAGATTACTGTGTAGAGCAGACATGTCAAACACAAGGCCCAGGGGCCGGATGCGGCCCGCGAAGTGGTTTCATGTGGCCCACGAAGCCATCCTGGAAACAGTGAGGGAATGGCCCCCGCTGCCTTGGCCCTGGCCCAGGCCAGCCGGGAGCCAATGTACAATTTTGTGGTGGCCATCTTGGCACTTGCCCCGGTGGACCATGCCTTGGCACTTGCCCCGGTCCCACCCCCTTCTGCCAGAGACCCTCAGATCTGTCCCACTCCTGCCCAGGCCCCCATAAGCACCCTTGACGCGAATGATGTAGAACTGGCCACACCCACCCAGTAGGCTGCACCCACTCCATCCACGCCCACCCAGTAGGCTGCACCCACTTTGGCCACACCCACCCGGCCCCCCAAGGGCAACCGCAATGGTGATGCGGCCCTCAGTGAAATTGAGTTTGACCCCTGGTGTAGAGTAATTGCCCAGAGTGCAAATGGGCGATTTCACGATCTCTCCTTTTTCCAGAAAGACTTTGTTGAACAGAATTCACTGGCTACTTATCTCTACCACCAGGCCACCTTTGCTCCTTCAGGGACGTCTAATTCACCATGAATCCCTACTGGAAGTCTACAGGTGATGCATTTTTTTCTAACTTTATTTATTTTCATGAGAAATAAATATATTTTACAATCTCTAAACCCCCTAATCAATACACTCAATTTACTATCTTAGCCATATTGGAGATATTTTGTGTATTCTACTGATTATAAACTCTATTTAATAATAACATTGTGTGAACAAATAATGTAGAAGTTGTTTCTATGTAGACCTATATCAGGGGTAGGCAACCTTGGTTCTTTTATGACTCGTGGACTTCAACTCCCAGAATTCCTTCTGGAAGTTGAAGTCCACGAGTCATAAAAGAACCAAGGTTGCCTATCCCTGACCTGTATCAATAAAACTCAGTGCTAATTTACATGACATTATTTCTCTTTTCACATCCACTAATTGTCTCCTCCTCCTTAATTCCTTTGCTTCTATGACTAAGTATCAACTGCCTCTTTCCTCATATATTTCTCTCCCTTGCTAATTTTCTGCCTCAATTTCCTTACAAGGAAGTCTCAAGTTAACTCTCTGTATACATTTTCTCAATGCAGTAATCTACTGTTTGATCACATTTCCCCACTTTGTGTTATATTTTCTTCCAGAAAATTATGACTGCACAATCAAATTTTCACAGAATTTGAATTCCAACAGCTTAGAAGGGAAGCAAAAAAACTAAAAAGGGAATTAAAAGCAAGGAAATATTTCTACTTTAGCTATCTGAATTTACAACTAAATCTGCTAAGACTTTAGAAGTTTCTATATTTTATCTGCAACTAGAAACTTGAAAATCTGATAGGTAAGAGGAAATCTATTTAAAAATATTTTGAGATTCAGACAAATATACGTTCTATTATAATTTCATAATTCACAAACTTCTCACAACACAAAAAAATAAAAGGCAGAATAACTAAACCAGCCAAACATCTTATGTTTATATTACAAAGAGACTTAGTGCATGTGAGTACACATAAATGAGTTTAGGCTGTAAAATATTTTGAATAAGAAATGACAAAAGAGTGATTGAAAGAATGTTATAGCCAAGTTAATAAGTAGGCAAAACTGGAATTATAAACTCTCTCTCTCTCTCTCTCACACACACACACACACACACACACTTGTGTGTGTATGTAATATTGTATAGTGTGTATCTATGGTGCATGGCTATTTGATAATCTCCAAAAGTGTTTAATCAAATATATGCTGATCACACACGCACATCCAAAAACATCTAAAAAATATCTTCATGTCAAAATCCAAAATGCATATTTAAAATCCATTTCAATATATTTAATGTAAAATGTGCCATGCCAGTTTTATAATTGGGTCACCTTGAACAGAAAGAATAAAACTTTATAATTTACTACATTAGCCATCTGGCAAAAGAGCAATATATTTTGCTTGCAAAGCCAATTAATGCTGTGCTATATATGTATCATGCATATTAGTGGAAATAAACAGATTCAAAATGGCCTTAATATATTTCAATAATTCTAGCAGTATATATGTTTCTTTATTGGAATTTTATAATAATGTCTAGTTATTTGAACGTACAGAACAAATAGTTTTTCCAAAATTGGTTCAATAAAATGTTACTTTTCTTAGTGTCCTATAAAGTGATTTAAATATTACCACTTGGGTGCTTCAAATCCAAATACCTTAATAATCTTAGACATCCACTTATTTAACTTTCTCTGACACATCTGAATGTCACAGACAAAACCAGCCTCAGCCTCAAGTAAGTCTTAAGAATGTAGAGGAGTTTATAGTCTGATTGACAGTATTTCTGGCCATAATGTTACTTCAAGATACAGTTTAAAAAATGTTCACTAGCATGGATTGGGAGCTGCTGATAACCTGATTGCAGAGCCATAACAATTATCTTGCGGAATATTGCTGGGTGGTTTAACAACTGGCTGATAAAGAATTTCTCTCCCAGTTCCAGGTACTTTACTTATGAGAAACTTGAGTTAATGAGAATCAGTTACATTGGAAGAAAATAGAAGAATCAGCAGAAGTTTTTTTTTTTTCCTTTTAAGGATCCTGTAATCTCTTACATCAGGGTAGAGTCGAATGGAGCTGACCGTTTACTGGCCAGATGCCCTTCCTGACACCTACAGGAGTTTGCAGCAGATATTTTCTCTTTGTACCCAGAGAGAAAAATATCTGTCATTACCTAGGATCGAACTCACAGCCTGATTGTGAGGCGAAATCAGCAGAATGTCTATATTTTGTCTTAAATATTCTGTTGCTGGAGAGCTTTTCACTAATTTTTTCTCATTTTCATATTCCAAAAGGATGTTAGCTTTGCAAATGCAAACCTAAAACAGAAATCCACACCTACTTTTCTAGAAGCAAGTCCCTTTAGCTCAATGGAATATCCATTTATAAAGACTTATATAGGGCTTAAGCTATACATAATTTCCACACATAAATCTATAAGGCTCTCTTTCACAGAACTTACAGCTAAGGCATATGTTGTAGGAAGACTATTACCAAATTCTTTTACCCAATGATAAACAAAAAAGTAGGCATCTTTCATAAATGTTAACTGTAACCAATGAACATAATAAAGACATGGTAAACTGAGCTGTCCATAGCTTATTTTTATTATAATGTAAGTTAGCTTGGAAAAATCTCATGAGACAGGAAGCGATATAGAATGGGTAAAAAGCAAAATGAAGGGAGTTTTATACAGTCCTAGTGCCACACTTAAAATTTGTCTAAATCCAAGGACCACAACAGATGGCACAATGATGCAAACTGACTTGAGAATTTTTGTTTTGGGAAAAGATCAGCAAAAGATTGTGCAGATAGGTCTCATTTTTCAAATAACGTGAAGATCATCACTGTAGAGTAGTCCTTTTCATGTGGCTTTCTGCCTCAAAATGGTAAAAAATTATGTCACCATTTTCAGCAGTAATGGTCAGATAAGGTTCTGGAAATCACACAAAAAGAGCTTGGGGCTCTGTTTGTGACCCTCTAAAGCAGTGGTTCTCAACCTGTGGGTCGGGACCCCATTTGGGGTCGATCGACCATTTCATGGGGGTCGCCAAGCAAGGCTGTCCGCCATTTTTTTTGTCCGCCATTTTTTTCCCCTTTTCTGGCAGGTGCCTTACCTCCCTTGGGCTGGGCCAGCTGGTGGTCGGCCTGCTCCGTCTCTGCTGCTTGCCAGCTACGCCTCGGCCGGCGCAGGGGGCGGAACCACGCATGCGCGGCGCTCCCGGGCAGGGAAAGTTCTCGACTTACGACCGGTTGGGTAGTCCTTGACTTACAACCGGTTTAGTCCTTCACTTATGACTGGTTTAGTCCTCGACTTACGACCGGTTGGGGTCGCGGCATTAAAAAGGTTGAGAACCACTGCTCTAAAGTCTAAACCAAGGATAACATGCCTTTCTAGAAATGCTGGAAAGAACAGTAGACATTCAGTTATAAAAGGGAGATATTTGAGCCACTATTTCTGAAAAGCAACCAAGTTGCTTAAAAGACATGCAGATTAAATAACAGATTTACCATAGAGTGCTTCCCTTTCCTTGCCTGGTGTCATGGTTAGGGCTTTCTCTCCAGAATTGGGCTCTTTAGAACCAGTCACAGTAGCTGCAAAAGAGAATAAAAGACATTAGATCCATATTTTTGAGGTAAAGCTGCATGTGCCATGCTACAGACCCAGAGTTCTGCCTAACACTTTTCTCTTCAGGCTGCAGCAGGGAAAGGCAGATACGGTGGAGATCCAGCTCTATTTTTATGGTATAGGGCTTGACTCATTCACATGACTCACGTGGAACTAAGGATTTTTTTTCTTGCCCAACCATGAGAAAGTACTTCACAAAAATAGTACCAGAGGCAAAAGCGCAGTTTCTTGAAGATTGATTTATAGAACCTATTGCAATTATACAGATACATAAATCCAAAAGCTAAGTAGATATCTGGCTGCCAGCAAAGTATTTCTTTAGAAACTGAAACATCTGGTTCAAGTACAACTTTTTTCTCCAGTAGAAGTTTATTTCTGTAAATGCAAAAAAAAAAAAGGAAAAAAAGCACAACCTAAGGGAAAAGGGGGGAGGGAACCACACACATACAGGCAAATGGATAATGGGTTTTCACAGTTAATGGATAATTCCTTGAAGCTTTGCCTACATTTTATGTTCCTATTCTAGAAAAAGAATGCAGTCAAACACTTCTATAATGTAAAATATGACCATAATTTCTGGCAGCTGCTTCTATATTATATAAAAATGTAGTGGTTCAAGAAATGTCGAAACTATGCTGGAACTGAAAAATTACCGTTAAAGCTTTAATGATACAAAAGCATTTATTTTATAACCATTACCCCACTAGGTTACTTAGTATATTACAAAGCAATTCTGTGCATGTTTTCTCAGAAGATTATGCTCCCCCCTCCAACTCCTTTAGTCTGTCAGACTACTGTATATCCAATGATCCACAAAGAGCAACAGCCATCTGTTTTTCTGCTGTTTCCTGGTTTTAATTTCTTGTTTGCTGCCGAGCCTCAGTAATCAGATAGCTGGCCGTATATATTGTTGGAATATACCATAACATAACGTAACAATCCTACACTACTCAAGTACATCTATCTCAGTTTTTGCCCTCTGAAAAAGAAAAAATTGAGAATGAAAATCATACACATTTTATAACATATTTTATTATAAAAAATACAAGTCTTATTGGAACATAATGCCATGAAGCCAGATAAAGTTACATTGCTATAATAATTCTGCGTGCAGTATCCAAAACAGATTTCCTCCAGTAAAAAGGCTATAAGCCTCTGCATAGATTTAATACACCCAAAAAAGGGGGCAAAATTCCAAAACTTGTTCAGAAATCCAATCAAATTACTGAGAACTACTCATGTGTTAAATTTTAAATTTACCGACAAAGAATTAAAGGAGACTACTATAGCTATTTTGAGCTATTCAGCTTGAAATAGCTATACTAGTCTCTCTTTAATTCTTTGTCGGTAAATTAAAAATTTAACACAAAAATAGTCTGTCGTAGAAGCGACTGCCTGTGAAGGCTCCTAGATTGGGCCTGAAAAGTGAAAGCGGAAGCAGTATGCTCCGTTCCCGTATTTGGGGTAGACCAGGTTGCCCTGATAAACCGGTCTCACCTGAAAAACACTTGAGAACTACTCATGTCATTGTAAGAGAAAAAGAAAATAAAAAAAAATTAAAAAAATAAGCCCAACTATCAGAGATTTGTCTAACGTGGTACACTTGTATTCTTTAATGCAATCAATTTAGATAATAAAAGTAATAATAATATAATAATAATAATAATAATAATAATAATAATAATAATAATAATAATAATAATAATAATAATAATAATAATAATAAAGTTGGAAGGGACCTTGGAGGTCATCGAGTCCAACCCCCTGCTCAGGCAGGAACCCTACACCATTTCGGACAAATGGCTGTCCAGTCTCTTCTTAAAAACTTCCAGTGTTGGCGCATTCACCGCTTCTGGAGGCAGGTTGTTCCACTGGTTAATTGTTCTAACTGTCAGGAAGTTTCTCCTTAGTTCTAAGTTGCTTCTCTAGAACAGAGCCCTGGGGCACCCCACTACACACTTCTTCATATTTGTACTACATAATGTCATTGTATACACAAGTCTTCATATTTGTACTACATAATCTCATTGTATAAAATAATTGCTTTTCAAAACAGTTTTCCCACTGGACCCAAGGAGGATGATTCCAAGACCAAATTTTTCTTAACCTAAAGCTTGACAAAATGAACTTTAAACTCTTTTGAAATTATCTGTTTGCTCTTCATTAATCTTTCCCCAGAACAAACACTTTCTTCCTAATAACATCCATACCTCAGGCCTGCCACAATCCTGATGAATATGGCATGGGTCAAGAGGAGATTAACAAGCAGATGTGCTTAGTTTTATGCATTAGGATTAATGGGGTTAGGATAGATTAACAGAGTTGGAAGGGATCTTGGAGGTCTTCTAGTCCAGCCTGAGCAGGGGGTTCCAACTGCTGTCATTCTATCCCATTCTAACCCCCTGCTCAGGCAGGAAACCCTATACCATTTCAGACAAATGGTTGTCCAGTCTCTTCTTAAAAACTTCCAGTGTTGGAGCATTCACAACTTCTGGAGGCAAGTTGTTCCACTGCTTAACTGTTCTAACTGTCAGGAAATTTCTCCTTAGTTCTAGGTTGCTTCTCTCCTGGATTAGTTTCCATCCATTGCTTCTTGTCCTGCCCTCAGGTGATTTGGATAATAGCTTGACTCCCTCTTCTTTGTGGCAACCCGACATCTTGTAACATTGCTATCATGTCACCCCGAGTCCTTCTTTTCATTAAACTAGACATACCCAATTCCAACAATCGTTCCTTATATGTTTCAGCCTCCAGTCCCCTGATCATCTTTGTTGCTCTTCTCTGCACTCTTTCTAGAGTCTCAACCTCTTTTTTAAATTGTGGTGACCAAAATTGGATGCAGTATTCCAAGTGTGGCCTTACCAAGGCATTATAAAGGATCTTAGACTAAACCTTGTCAAGGCAGCATGTGACTTTCAGTTAACATTTCTTGATTTTATTATCATGGTTCAAAACCTTTAACTCAGTTTGCAATATTGCTATCTAGAGGGAATAGTGGACTAATACGTATGATCTGCACTACTTTTGACACTCTTCAACTTTTGTTCAAGGTCCATCCAGACCAGTGGTTAGCAAGACCTACACCACTATGGGGCAGATTCAAGCAACGGCTTAGGAAGGTCTAAAATATTAGCAAAATATTTATTAATTTGACCTGAGGAGCAATTCAAATATGTCATTATTTAACATATTTTTTCTTATCAATTTATGGAAAAATAATTGTCACCATAACATGCTTAGTTTAGGGATGCAGTTTGACTTAGGGAGACTCAAGTCACTATTCCCAGTTCCCTTTCTAGGAATCAAATTAAATGTAGAGAATGTTTAAAAACAGGTTATGTTGGTTTCAGGATAAAGGTTTTTTAAAAAGGGGATTTTGTGATAGGGATAAGAGAAAGAATGTAATATAAAATTCATGGCATTATTGGAGGAGCAAAATCAGTGCAATAGCATAAATATTTTGTTGAACCATGGAAACTGTCCAGAGCAGTGATAGATTGAGGTGGCCTAGAAATTCAATGATTAAATAAATTTAATCTCATTAAACCAATGTTTCTCAACTTTGGAAACTTTTTAAGCTGTGTCAACTTCTGCTGGGGAATTCTGGAAGTTGAAGTCCACACGTCTTAAAGTTAGCAAGGTTGACAAACACTGCATTAAACTAAAGTAGTAAGTACAAATTTTGAAACCTTTCCTCACAAAATTTCCAATTCTCTGGCCATTTAGGTGCATCTCTTTCCAACTCTACAGTATCCTTTTATAAGTTAGGGTTAGGCCAGTGGTGGCGAACCTATGGCACGCGTGTAAGAGGCGGCACTCGGAGCCCTCTCTGTGGGCACACACGCCATTGCCCCAGCCCCGCCTCCTTCTGCGGCCCCCTCACCAGCAGCCCCCTCGGAGATGAGGCACCCCCGGGCACGGCCCGCATAGAGCAGCCCAGCCAAGAACATAGCCGGGCAGCAGGGACAAGACTCCGCTCTCACGCCCCATAACGTGCAGATGATGCTGTGGGGTGTGGGCGGAGGGCGTGGCTGCCATGGCACTGCAGGGCTGCCTGGGCAATCTGCTGCGGCGGGCCATGGAGGCGGTGTGTAGCCCTGCGGGTGGGCGGGGCAGGCAGGGCTGGAAGTGGAGTGGGGGCGGGGAGCGGGGTTTGGGCACTCGGTTTCTAAAAGGTTCGCCATCACTGGGTTAGGCCAATCAGAAAGGTACACAACACCGAAGCAGTAATGATAGCATAGATATGTACAAAGATACTGTATTAATTATTTTCTTATAAAAACTGGAATTTTTATTTTCAACTTGTTTCCTGAAAATCCTACAATGTTGTTTTTTCATTTCCCTCTGAAGTTGACAATTTTATTGAGTAACCCATAATCCCAAGATCTCTTTTCTGAGCTCCCACTGCCAATGAAATACAAGCAAAGAGCTCAGAAGGTGTTCCTTGCCTAGCATCATATGAGCAAGTGGCACACTGTTAGACGTGCCACTTTACACCTTTTGCTGGCACAAATTTTAGCTGCCCTTAAAAACCCTCTATAAAGTTGAGTGCAATTAAAGGAGTGGAAAATTATGGGCCATAAAGTTGTCTAAAGATTACTGCTCTTTTGTTACTCTTTGTTTTGGTTCTGACAGCAAAGGGTGTGAAGTGGCATACCCACGATTGTTCTTGTACGTATACAAAGGTTATACATGCACAAGAAGCACCATCTTGCAAATTATAGTGATAACCCAAAGGGTGGTGTTTTTTTTTTGCTATTTCAACTGAGTATCTATCTACCCTAGTTGACCGATTCGCAGTAATTGTCCATGGATGTAATTTGAATTCTTGTGACTCAAAATTAATTGAACATGCTTGGGCACAGAAGCCGATGATTTGTGGAAAGCATAAAAAGTCTGTGTGCTATCACAAAACTATAGCTTTTGTTTTCCAAAAAATAATTTTCCATACTGACTATCACAGAAA